TATCTATCTATCTATCTATCTATCTATCTATCTATCTATCTATCTATATCCTCTTTCATACAGGAAATTTGTTAGAGTAAGGCAAGGCAGTTAATTCACTTGACAGCACAATTGTTTGGGTACCTTCATAAATTTCTTGCTCATTTGCCACTCTCTGATAGGTTTCCTCCCATGTCTGAAAGAAAAAGTGAGAGAATTGTTGGATTGACCTGCCCAGCAAAGCACTGTGCCATGTTAACAACAGGTAGAATTTATATGGTGCTTTAAGCTTTGCAAAGGTCTTTACAAATATGTCACAACAACCCTAGGAAGCAAGTTCTTTTATTATCTCATTTTACAGAGTTGGATGCTGAGACAGGAAAAGGACAAGGGACTCACTTGCCGAGGGTCACGTAGCTAGTGTTTGGGGCCATGTATGAACTCAGGTCTTCCTGACTCCAGGCTGTATCTACTGAGCAACCTGGCTGGTGAACTATTCACTGGGGAGCATGTCTGGGTGTAGGAGTGGTCACTGAGTCACTAATCCACCCTGTGCTCTCTAGCACCCCCTGTTTGAGGGGATATCTGCTTTTACTAGGTGGTAAAGACCACTTGCTTTTCACACACATGCAAATAAAATAATTGATCAATTCCTTTTTGGCTGCAGCCTCCCCCACTGTGTATATTTTGGTGGAAGACAAAAGAGATGTTGGGGATATTTCCCCTGGAGGCCTCTTACCTCTTCAAAGACAGGCCTCATCATTTCTACCGAGGAATACTTGGAAGCAATATGCTCGTCCACCTGTAGGGATTTCTGCAGGATGTCACTCATAATTTCTGCCTTGATGAGGGAATGGTGCTTGGTGAGGTCCCGATGTAATTCTTGCACTTGATCCTTCAGGTTCTGGATCTCAGATTGCAGGGTCTGTGTTCAAAGAAGCCCAGGTTTGGGGGTGGGGTAGGAAGGGAATAAACATTTATATAGTGCCTGCTACCTGCCAGGCTATGCTAAGCACTTTAGAGATATTATGTCAACAACACTGCAAGGCAGGTGGGGATTTGAATTCAGGCTTTCCTGACTCCAGGCCCTGTGTTCTATCCAGTATTCCATCTAGCTCCCTGGGTAATTACATTTGGTCTGAGTTGTGTTTAGTACCCAGACAGAAGTAAATGTGCTTAGAGGTGCTCTAAGAAAGGGTTTCACGGTCCTAGAGTAACTAAATTTTTCCTCCTTCTGCTTTAGTGGTCACCAGGGTTTTTGCCCCTTCTAATGATGCTGTAATCCGGTACCCCCCAATGGCAGAGAAACCAGCATTTGGTGAATGACAGGAATCCCAATTCAAGAGAGTTTTGTTGTTCAGTCGTTTCAGTAATGTCTGACTCTTAATGACCCCATTTAGGGTTTTCTTGGCAAAGATACTGGAGTGGTTTGCCATTTCCTTCCTCTAGCTCATTTTACAGATGAGGAAACTGAGGCAAACAGGGTTAAGTGCCCAAGGCCACCCCACTAGCAAATGTCTGAGACCAGACTAGAACTCAGGAAGCTGAGTCTTCCAGGGCTAGCACTCTGTGCACTATGGCGCCACCTAGTGGCCCATCGTGAGAGTAGCCTGGAATTGGATGGACATTTTCATGAACGCTCTCTGGATAAATTGCAAAGGTTTTTGTCTTTTCAGGAACCCTCATATGCAGGATTTGATCCTAGTCATGCGGGAGGGGAGAGGCGTCTTCTACTAGACAAGAGGAGAAGCCAGGCTGCTCAGCTGACCCTCAGCATCCCTCCCTTCCAGGCCCTCACCCTGTATGTCTCCTCGTAATGGCGGCAGTGCTCTGTGAAGGGGGTGTCGCTTCCCTCAGCCAGCAGCACCCTGGTGCTGATAGATCGGTGCAGCGTGGGCTTGTGGATAGGTGACCCAGACATCTTTCCACCTGGGGATGGGCAACCAGAACTAAGCAGGGCCTTGGTAGTCGAACACCCAGAAAGCCTGTGGAGAGAAGTCGTGGCAGCATGGATGGGTTGGGGGGTAGGATTGGAGATGGATTAACTACATGCTCCACCCCCAACCCCAGCTGCTCAGTTCAGTATCAGTTGAACCTTTATCCGGGAGGCTTGGGAGAAAGTTTATCAGTGCAAGCCATTTATTAAGGACACTTTTGCACATTGTCCCCAGCTCAGCCCGGCCCAGTGAGTCACTACCGATGCTCTAAACAGGATCCAGGGAGTGTGAGTGCTCATACGGTGGTTATGTGGAAGGTGGATTTAAGGCCTGCTGCTTTTCTCAAGTCCCACTTTATTCCGTCCATACCCAGCTATCATTTTTCAGGCAAAAAAGTGTTCTGTCTAGATGTATGGCGTGTGCAGGGCACAAACCCATTGTTGGAACAGAGCCTCATGCTGTGTAGACTGGTCCTCCTCCAACTCAGGTAAATAGAATGTGGGGAGTGGAGCTCCTCATCTACCCTTGAGGTGACAACACCCTGAGCTGGAGACCTTGCTCCCCTTCCTGGGGACTGAATCAAGGATATTGGGGGAGCCCAAAAATCAGCTATTGGCCATCCATCCACCAGCCTCTCCCTCAGCTTCCTTCCTCTTGCCTGGGCCTGCTTAGCCCCCTGAGCCAACCTTGTCCTGAACTCCCCTAAACCATTTGAGTCCTGCCTCCCAAGCCTTTTAGGGTTCCCATGATTCTTTTTTTTTAATAAAGAAATATCACTTTATTCCTGTACCTTCTAATATTTTTTTTGGGGGGGGTGAAGCATTTGGGGTTAAGTGACTTGCCCAGAGTCACATAGTTAGTGAGGCCGGATTTGAACTCTGGACCTCCTGACTCTAGGGCCGGTGCTCTATCCGCTGAGCTACCTAGCTGCCCCATTCCCATGATTCTTAAGAAGTTTTCATTCTTCCTGCCTTAAAGATGCAGCCAGTGTTTGGGAGGGCAGAGAGAAGATCCTACACAGCCAGTGTCTTTTGCAAATAGCCAGCTGCCATTCCTCCCGTCCCCATGCCCCACCCCAGGCGCCCTCCCAATCCTATAGCTTCTGTCCTGGAGCCTCCAAGAGGCAACTCCGACTAGGCCGGTTCTGCAATACCAGTCCGAAGGCGGATGATGCTTCCTTCACCTCAGCACCTCGTCCCATGGAAAAGCTAAAAGCTTCATGAGCAGGCCCCTGCTAGCGAACCCTTCCTCCTTCCTCCCTCTTCTCCCCACCTGCCCCGGATACCGGTATCAAAGAAGTCTATATATAGCCAGGTAGAACAGGACTAAAAATAGGGCCTGGAGTGACCAGGAGAGCTAGCCACCCCAGGGCCCTCCAGGTTCCTAGCCTCTTTCCTTTCTGGACTTCGACCTCTGCTCATCGCTTCGGGGGAAGGAAGGGACCAGGCTGAGCGACACACGACCCCTCCCGTTGAGGAAGGTGTCCCCTCTCCACATTTGGGCGGTTTCAGGAAGCGCTGGCTTGGACTCCCACAGAGACCGTGTCCACTGGTCTCCACCACGTGTCAGTGGAACGGCCCCCATCCCCTAACCCAGGGCTCCAGTGCTCTGAGCCAGCATGGGCTGGCTGTGACCCCTGGGCTGGGTTGAGGGCTGAGGTCTATGGGGACAGGGAAGGGGACACGCCCTGCCCACACTCCTCACATGGTGGCTGCAGCCCCAGTCGCCGGCGCCCTCCGCGCACCTAGCAGCAGCAGCGGCTCCAGGCAGCGGGAGAACTCAGCGCGGTGGTCGCTGGTGATCTGTGGGGCCATAGCAGGGGAGGGGGGGGCGGTTAGGAGCCGAGCATTGGAGTCTGGAAGGCCCCAAACTGGGAACCTCCTGGCTCTGTGCCCCTCCCCCCAGGTCCCTGGCGCCTACATCCAGACTTTTCCTCCCCACCCCCAGGCTCCCTGATCTGCACCTTACTGCTCTGCGCCGGCTGTAGGCGGTGGGGCCGAGTGACGATGCCCTGTAACCGGTCCATCAGTTCCTGTGGCAGCCGGGATAGGGGACGTTTTCAGGACCCTGGGACCTACAGCCTCAGGGGACCCTCTATTCCGCCCCACCCTACCCCTTTCCCCACCCTCCCGGTCATTTCCTAGCTAGTGGGAAGCTGGCTGGCCTCCTGCAGTCAGGAAAGGCGGAAATGAGTACAAAGAGGGGTGGGAGACGCCCAGGTTAGTTTATGCTATTTTCCTCCAGGTGGCAACCACTCAGCCCTGCCCCCCCCCCCCCGCACTCAATCCAGCTCTTAGGGAGTGCAAGGAAACCTGGAAAGGTCCCGTCCGGTCAACCTACCATATTCTTGGAGTAGCCTTGCCCTGAGGTGCCAGGGGCAGCAGATACTGCTAAGGCAGACAGGTCTGCACTAAAGACTTTTCTGTCACCCAAGGGAGTTTGTCCCCAATCCCTTACCGCCCACTCTCTTTTCCCGTTCCCAAGGAGCTCAGTACTCCCATGTGGTCCTCCATCTACCCAAAGCTCCCCATTATCCTACCATTGGAGTCTCTTCTCTCTTCCCAGCCCCCAAACCCTAAATCCTCATCCCCTCAGAGGAGCTGTTTTTAGGAAAGAAATCTAGTTTTTTAATCAAAATCAATCACTGTAACGGGAATGATGTCTCTGAGCCCCCAAGGCTGCCATTTGGGTTTTAAAGATCCTGGAGGGAAGGGACTGCTTTCAGTTCTGTCTTCGTTTCCCCAGCACCTGGTTCCGAGTACGTATTTCTTAGATTTTTTTTTTCTTGAATTCAGTGGAAAAGGTCAGTCAACCTAAATGATTGTGCACCCGGTGAAAAGTGTGGGGAGATGTTTTGAACAGTTCCCCCCCCCCACTTCCATCCTCAGAAAAGTCCTGGACAGGACTCAGCAAGGCGGTTCAGAAAAGTTGCCAAGTCCTGACCTAGATGTAAATACCATTTCATTCCTGAGGATCCCTCCGCGAGGTGACTCACATATCCCAGGTCCAGGAATTCTGCCTTGTTGGCTGAGCTGAGGAAAGCTGAGCAGGTGACCAGGTGGACCTATGGGGACAAGGTAGTGCCCACAACTGATCATCCACAGTGGGAGTCTGAATGGAAAGGATGATTCCCAAGGAATGATGCCAAACTCCTTGGAAGAGGGAATTCTCTATGCAAGCTCACAGGCCCAAACAACAAAAAAATTGCATATTGTTTTTATTTGTGTATGACTCATGTTCCCCTCCTGCAAGCTAAGCTCCAAGGGGGCAAGGGTCTGGTCTCATTTAAACTCTTTACCTTTCCCAGTTTAGGTCAGGGCTCAGAACATGAGACCTCAGTTTTCTCAACTGTAAAATGGGAATAATAACTGTACCTCCTTTGCAGGGCTGTGAGGATCAGATGAGATAATATTTGGAAAATGCTTACCACAGTGCCTGGAACATAGCTGGTGCTATATAAATGCTTATTCCCTTCCCTTTCCTCATTTCATAAACATTTGTTGAATGTTGAAGGAAATTCAGGTGGCATGCAAATTCTGAGTGAGGGAAAAGGGAAGCGATCTGTTGCCCAGATATCCCAAAACAACCTCCCAGCCACCTGCTAGTTCCTTGGCTGTACTCCCTTCTGGTCATAAGGAAGCTGACTCTGGCTCTTTACCTGCAGTGTGGGCAGCAGGGATACCAGCTGGGAGAGCTGATCCTTGAAGGCCTTGTCTTTCTCTTCATACTGGCTGAGGAGGCAGGAGAGGTAGGTCAATGAGCACCCTGGAATCAGGGGTCAGCATGAGGAAGGGGGAAGAGAAGGGAATAAGCATTCTATGTGCCAAACACTGTGCTAAACACTTTATAAATATCTCATTTGATCATCACAACAACCTGCAAAGCAGGTACTGTTATGATCCTCATTTTACAGTTGAGGAAACTGAGGCAGACATAGGTTAAGTGACTGCTCAGGGTCACATAGCTAGTAAGTGAATTTGAACTCAGGTCTTCCTAGCTCGAGGCACAATGTTACTCACTGCACCACCTAGATTCCTTCACTTACGCTGAATTCACTTAAGAACTCTGAGGATTCACTCTCTGGGTCCCTAAACCCCTCCACAGTGCAAAAAAAGAAGGTTTGTGATTTACGATCTGGGCTAATCCCATGGGCCTGGGATATGGGAGTGATAACTGGCAGTGTCACACATCTATGCATTTTAGAAAATGGCCCTTTCCCTTCTGGTGAAGATACCCAGTCACAAGAGTTTTCTTGAAGACAGTGACAAACACTGGGTGCTCAACCAAGGAGACTGCAATGTCTAGGGAGGGTGCTAGGGAAGTCTTGGTGGGGTGGAAGCAGTGAACTTGGGGTGAAAGACCTGGGTTTGAGTCCCAACTCTGGTGTGTGACCCTGGGCAAGTCACTTCATTTTTCTGGGCCTCAGTATCCTCACCTGTAAAACAGGGGCAAGAACACTCCCACTACTTACCTCACAGGATTGTGTGAGGCAAGTGCTTTTTCAACATTTAAATGAATCAGTGTGAATTGTTCTTATTCTTGGCCCTACCAACCTCCGCACTGCCTTCAGTAACAATGCCTTCCTCTCCGTCAGCTTCTCCTACAAGAAACCAATAACACAGCAATCTGAATTTGGGTGGGGGTAGAGGGTTGGGATAGGGGTAGAGGAGAAGTAGAGGAGAAGCTTGCCTTTGGATGGGAGGTTGGGAGTCTGCAACTATTATTCACAAAGAGCAGACTGGGTTGTCTTTGAGAGAGTAGATAATTCCCATCATCAAATACATCAAGTAGATATTGTAGAAGGAGCTCAGGTATGGGTTGGGCCAAATGTCCATTTGAGATTCTTTCCAGCTCTGAGAATTCTAGGCTCTTAATGCTCATAGCCACCATCATACTCCAGTGGGCCCTCAGAAAGAGCCACAATTGATGTTGTCTGGCCCTCGGATGGGAGGGGGAACTTACCTGCATGCTGCTGAAGAGGGTATGGATGGCACTCTCCTCCTCGGCTGCACTGCGCCTCACGTCCTCCACCATGGTCTGCAGCAGGGTGATTGCCTCTCGAGTGGAAGTCTGCAAAGCCTTCACAGCCTTGGGAGGAAGGGAGCTGTTCAGCAGGCTGGGCAGGTCTGTGGTGACTGATCCCTCCTCATCTTACTTTCCCCCAATCCCCAGAAGCCAGTGCTAACTACTCACCATGACAGTCTGGTCCAGCTTCTCACAGCCCTGCACGTAGGCTGTCTCTATGTCAATACAGTGTGCCCGGCTTTCCCTGCAAAGATGGCCTGCCTCAGGGAACTCCCACACTTCCCTTCATAGGGTCTACAAATCTCTCCCTTGTTCTCCTGATATCCTGGTTCCCAGGCCTTGGGCTCTACTGAAGGACTTAACTGATATTCAGTTTGTGTGGCTATCAGACTAGATTTTTTCTCTCCTCCAACCCATACCAGGGAAGGGCTAAAGCTCAACCCTAGCCAAATAACCCTGGGGTCTGGCCTCAAGTGCAAAGATGGGTCAAAACCACAGGCTGATCAATTCAAGGTCCTCCAGTAGAATGGAAAATCCTCCGAGGTAGAGACTGTTTAGTGTTCCATTGACCTGTGTACCTTCTTTGCTACATGTAGCCTTACGGATTGTCACTCGCACTTAAGTGACGGGCTAAGGGTCACATAGCTAGTAAGTGTCTGAGGATGGATTTGAACTCAGGTCCTCTTGACTCCAATACACCATTTCTTAATATATAAGTGGTTATTGAATTGAAATCGACAATGGAGTGGGATCCAATTGTCTTTTCCAGTCTTACCTTTCTTTATTTACCTCCAATCTATTCTCCAGTTAAACTGGACTGGACTCTTCCACCTCTTCTCTCTAAGAACCCAACATTATCCAGCCTCCACCACATTCTTTTCTCTGCTTGGAATTTCTCACCACTCAAGTCTTTGCCAGGTTTGCTCCCCTCTCCTTTAAGGCCCAACCCAAACTCCACCTCCTCCAAGAAATTCTTCCTGATCTCTCCAATGCAGTGATAGTCAGGATCTCCCATCCCGTACCTCACATAGTACTTAAGAAATGTTGCTTATCACTTGTGTGGTCTTAGTAGACTGTCAGGTCCATGAGAACAGGGACAAGGTTTCTTCCCTAGAGTCCAGCATGGTGCTTTACAAACAGAAGGTTCTCAATCAATGTTAGTTGGAGGATGGGAAGAGGGAAGGGAGGAGAGAATGAAGATAGAAAGGAAAAATGGAAAAAAGGGAAAGATGAAGGGCAGGAGGCCAGGGAAGGAAAGAAGAAGATGAGGGATGAAGGGAGAGAGGGATGGAAGGAAGGAGGAGGAGAGGGGAACAAGGAAGGGAGGGAAAGAAAGGAGGAAAAGGAGAGAAGAGAAAAGGGGAGAGAGAGAGGAGGGAAGGGCCCACATACCCCTGCATGTCCCGGAAGCATCGAATGCAGAGCATAGACTTCTTGTCAGTAGAGAACATAATGTAAGGCTCTCCATGCAAAGCTATAATAGGGAGACAAGTTCATTGGCTGGGGGCTGGCATCGATAACAGGGTGTTCAATACTTCTTTGTTTCATTTGGAGACAAGGTCTGGACACTCACAACACTTCTTGTGAGTGTCCTTGGTACGTTTGCCCAGGGCCACAACATCGTGGCGTGAGAACATCTTGGCCTTGTGAGTCTCCTCCCGGCAGTGGGCACAGAGTGGCTGACCACAGGTGTTGCAGAAGTAGGTGGTCTCTGCATCCTAGGGAGGAGAAGGAAGAGAAAAGTGTGGGATAGATAGATTGAATGTGGGCCAGGCTGGCTTAGCTGGTGGCCCCAATCCAAGTTAAGAGGAGGACTTCACCCAGGAAAATGGGCTGTAATTTAGGGTGTATGTCTGCATTTATCCAGGCTAGGGAGGAAACAGCTGGGACGTGAATCCTGGAAACTGGCCGGAGAGACAGCCTTGTTGTAGAGGTCATTCATTCATTCAACAAACACTAATTAGTTAACCCTTCCACATCTTGACTTTTCCTATTGAGGTTTCCATAAATTGCCAGATGGTGTAAGAAATGGGAATTTTGGAGGAGTTTTTCAGAAGCTGTAGATGACATGCTAGGGCCAGCAGATGACACAGAGCCTATGACCAAATACTTAACCCAAATTTTACAATAAGGTAATGTAAACACCTCATTAAAAAAAAAAGGAAAAAAATGATTTCTTTTTGGCACAAAGGGAGGGCCAAAAAGTTGTATGTGGATTTTTCAGATCATGGGGGCCCTGTGCCCCTAACATCCCCTACCACATGTGGAGGGGATAACTGTACAGACTTTTAGAGGTCTTGGTATCACAATGTTTTTGAGGGATAGATTGTCTTAGACCTCCAAGGGGACTGAAGGATTTAGAGCTGGATAGAACCCATTTAGAGAGTTCCATTTTGCAGATGAGAAGACTGAAGCCTAGTGTAGAGGTAAAATAATGTGCTTACTTAACTCCAATTGCCTAAAAAAAGAAAAAGAAAAAGAAAAAAAATGTTAAAAAAAAGCAAGACTAAAAAAAATATAATGTGCTTAAACTCACAGACTAGTAAGTAGTAAAGATGAAACTTGAACTGAGGTCTTCTGATTCTAATCCTAACCCCCTCCCCCCGGGCCACTAATAACTGCTCATATTTCCATAGCTCTTCAAAGACTCTCCAGGCATTTTCATCACAACATTCCAATGAAGTAGGGGCTGAAAGTATTATTTCCTCTATTATACAGATAAAGAGAAGTTATGTAACTTGCCCAGGGTCACATCAACCATCAAGTAAGCATCAAGGCTTGGTTCCCACCCCAAAGTTCTTTCCATCACAGCACTAGGTCAACTCACTCTGGTCTGAGCCCTGGGGAAAGTATGGTTGGTCTTGGGGAAAGGAGCTGGGGAGGAGGGTGGGAGTTCAGTGACTCATCGCTAGCGAGTGTTGAAGGACAGGAGGTTAAGCCCGGCAACCTGGTTCAGTGGAAGGAATGCTGGATTTGGAAGCAAGGACATGGGTTCAAATTCCATCCCCCCCCCTTCTCCTTACTAATTGAATGATTGAGACAAGTCACTTGCTATTGGCTTCAGTTTTCTCACGTGTAAAATGAAGGGACTAAATAATCCCTAAAGTCTGTTGTAACCCTAAATAAATGATCCTGTCTCCCAGAGTCGTTGAGATGGTCGGATTAGATATGTGTAAAGTACTTTGCAAACCTTAAAGTGCTATCTAAAACTATTAATATAGCACTATATATTAGTGTTAGATTGTGAGCTCCTTGAGAGCGGGTCGCACCCCTGGTCTTTTACCTTAATTGTTATTATTATCGCCATTTCTTTGCACAGTGCCTGGCACGTGGCCCATGGGCACTTGGTAAGTGTTAATTGACTGAATTATTAAAGGTAAGGTATTATTTCTTTACGCTAAACGAGATCTGCACCCCAAGCCACAGCTTCTCCTTGGATGTCTCCCCCCCACCCCAACCCTCTCTCCTCCTTGCCTGGCTCGGGCATTCCAGGTCGCAGTTGGCACAGCGCACAGCCTCTTCGCAGTCAGAGGAGCCATCCACCAGGAATTGCAGGAGCCGGTCCACAGGCGGCAGCCCATTGGCTCCCTTCACCATGGACGGGTGGCTGCAGGCATGGGAGAAGCTGGAGGCAAACCCCGGCCGGGGGCCCCCTCCCTGGCCCGAGCCCTCACTTCTCTCCTACCACACTTATTCACTAGGACCTAAAAATAGTTGAGAGGCACCCGGGGAAATGGTCGGTCACCTGCCTCTTGTGTTCGCTATAAATAGCTTCCGTTCCACTCCCCACTTTATCGCATCCACTCGGTCTGGCAGAATGCGTTCTCATGTGGGACTTCAGGAATTCGCGATCTCAAAGCGTAAAAAAGCCTGTCTTCTCTCTCGCTCCCCTTCTTACACAAGTGCCTTCTCTTCCCTTGTACAAGTACTTTAATCTGGTCAGGGAGATTTCAATATTCACCTAACCGAAGTGCTCAGGGAAAATTTGGGTTGTTTGGACACAAGACTTTAGGGTCCAGGAAATCAGTGGTGTAGAGCGGGAGGTGAAGTCAAGAAATCGGATTTCGGTGATGACTTAAACTTAGGTGTTTAAGCGCTCGCAGTCATGGCAGGGTGTGGCGGTGCGTAGCTATCCTCTCTGGGGCCCTCCCGCGGGGATCACATTCCAGGGCAGGCGCCCCCTCTTCGCCCCCTCTTCGCCCCCTCCCCCCTCTGCAGCCACCGCACTGGAGGCCGGGTGTGAAAGGTAGAAGTAGGGACAGCTGCGGCTAAGCGAAGACACCGTGCGCAGACGCCTCCCGGAGCAGAAACGCCTCGCCTTCCTGGGCACCTCCCCTCACCCCCGTTTTGGGAGCTTCGATCGCCACTGGGGTATCCTCGGGGGTAAGGGGCAATTTCGGGAAAGGATTGGAGATTGCTAGGTAGACATCGACAGAGACGCCCTGGCAGCTGCAGCCACGAACCAGGGCTGCCCCCAACGTTGCGCCCAGTTGGCTCGCCACTCCTGTGCTCTAGCCATGGAATTCCCTTCCTGCAGACTTGTCCCTGGCTAAGAAGCCCTGCTCTCAGGCTCATTTTTTCTCGAATTCCTGGTAGCGCAAAGAGACTCGGGTTGCGTCTGGCTTTGGCCCAGGCCGCCGTCCCACCCGAGGACACACTCCTCACCCACAAAGCGGGCAGGCTAGACGGCCATCGACGGCCCGGCCCCGCAGGCAGCTGGCACAGAAGTTGTGGTAACAGTCTAGCAGGCACGGGTGCTCATACTGCTCATGACAGAGGAAGCAGACGAGGGGGTGGCCATTGGAGGCGTCCAGGGCAGCGAGGCTCTCCAGAGGAGAGAAGATTTCACCCGACATCTGCTGGGAATTGGGAGGTGGATTGGTTGGGAGAGGAGGAGGTACAGGGGAGAGACTGAGTCAAGTCTGCCCCCTGTGCGTTGACCTCTGCTTCAGAGGACAACTGCCTGGGGTCATAAGGATGGTGGGCGTAACATCGAAGGGCCAGAAGGCAACCTGTAATCACTGCGGCTTAGCGCTGAGGGTTAGGAGAGCGTCAGCCTTAGCTCTGGCGACCCCAGTGCCCTGGGCAAACACAACTCTCCCCTACTGGCTGCCTTCCGTCTGGACCGTGGACACCGCTGGAGCCCCGGCAGAGCTGGAGAATTGGGGAGAGACTCCTGGCGCCTACGGCCCACGAGAGGTCATGAATGGAGTTGAATTTGTGCGTAAATGAGAAGATACTTGTTCATCATGCCCCTTTGGGTCCGATTCCCCTAAACATTTGGGGCAGGGGCGGGGAGTGAGGAGGTGGGCAAGCTGCCCCTCCTCTCCTACCTTCTCCACAGATGTTCCCAAGGCACTTTCCCACCTCTGCGAAGTTACTCAATTGTTGGGAAAGGCTCTGGTCAGGCTGGGAGAGGCTTCCAGAGGAGGTTCTCTGAGCCTCAGAGTGGGGCATCGGTTTCTTGCAGACGACAGAGGCTACCCCAACTCGGGGGAGATGAATTGGTCGGTTTCTGACCTCTCCCGATGGCAGGAGGAGGGGCGGGCATCAGGCCTTCCACTGCATGGCCAGGGGCTGGGCTGGAAAGCAGAATGCCCATTCCTGAGGCAGGGTGGGGCTGCCAGGAGGTGGGGGGGGGGGATGACTCTGGAACTCTTCTGGCCAGGGAGAATAGACCCAAGGAAGGTGGAGGCCTTTGGGGAGCTCTAGGGCACATTGAGGACAGAGGTACCATCTCTGGTACTGTGTAGTGGGAGTGATCCTCTTTTCCCTTTTTGGTCGGGCTGGGGCCCCTAGATTGTTTGACCCAGCCTCAGTCTTCCCTTATCAATCCAACCCCTTCTCCCTTCCTGAGAAATTCCAAACCTTCTTTCCTACCTCTCTCCTTCCTACCACGATCTCCGGTTAGCTGTGGTTCTCTGGGTCACTTGTATGCTCCATTCTGCAGGGAACAAAGACTTGTTCCCAATAACTCTGTCTGCAAAGCCCTTCCTTTAGCTACCCCTCCTCCTCAAGCCCATACTTGGAACCCTTCCAGCTTGGCAAACAAACCTGTCTCATTCCACTTCAAATGCATTGCATCTCTTCCTCCAGGCCTTTACACAGGCTGGCCACCATGCCTAGAAAACTCTCCTCATCTCCTTCTCTTGGATCACTAGTTCCCTTCGGGGCTTAGCTAGCATTTATATATAGTACTTCAAGGTTTGTGAAATGTTTACAAACATCTCATTTTATTCTCACAATAACCACAGGAGATGTACTATTATTATCCCCATTTTACAGATGACGAATATGAAGCAGGCAGTAGTTAAGTAACTTGCCCAGGATTAAACTGTTAAGTGTCTGAAGCTGGGTTTGAATTTAGGTATTCCTTATTCTAAGACTAACATTCTAGCCTCTTTATTACCTAAAGCTTAGCTCAAGGGTAACCAACCATACAAGGCTATTTCTGACCAACCGAGTTATTAGGGGTCCCTCTGCTACCACCTACAAAAGTACTTTGTATTTTCTTCATATATGCCTGGTATTTCCTTATCTATATGTGTATTGTATATAGCATGAGATTGCCTTACTGTAGAATGTGAGCTTGAGGGCAGGGAATGATTGCTTTTTTTGCGTTTATATTGTTAGCAACTAGCTCAGTGTTTGAATCATTGCAGAACCTTAACAAATACTTAGTGAACTGAATTAGCAGGACTTTGCCAGAGTTTATATTTTCTAATCTTAACTGGTCTCTCACCGAAGTACGATGATACTTCTTACTCTTCCCTAATTGAATCTCTGTGGAACTCTTTCCCTGAATGTTTCAGACTTTTTCTTCTTCCCTCAAGTCTTCCACAGCACACCTCCCTCACTTTCTCAGCTGAGGTTCTCACCTTCTATATCACCAAAAACTAGGCCATTCCATGTAAGCTCCCTCTTCTACCCCTCTCATTATCTCACATCCCCCAGACATCACCCCCCCCCACTCTCTTCTGTTGAAGAGGTGGCCTTTCTGTTAGCCAGTGAATCCCTCTACATCTACCATTGATCCCAGCACCTCCTATCAGTCCCAGCAGATCGCCCCCATCTCATCTCCCCATATCTCAAATTTTTAATCTCTCCCTATATACTAGTTCCTTCTCTGGTGCCTATAGCTTGTCTCCCTCATCCTTAAAAATGGTCATTAAATCCTACCATGGCTGCTGGTATCATCTTCTATGACTCCTCTCCTCAGCTAAAATCCTTGAGAAGGTCATCTCCATTAGGTGCCTCTATTTCTGCTCACTCACTTCTAAATTCTCTGTATTCCCACACCATTATCCAAATGAAACTGCTTCTTCCAAAGTTACCAGTGATCTAATTGCTCAATCTAATGGCCTTTTCTCAATAAACATCGGTGGCCTCTGTTGTGTTTAATGACCACTGACCATCTCCTCCTCCTCAGATATGCCCTTCTTTTGGTGTTTTTGTGACATTTCTGTCTCCTGGTTCCCCTCCGGCTTGCTCTTCCCCAGTGTCCTTTGCTAGCTCTTCATCAAAGTGACACCACTAACCATAGGTTTACCCTCAGGGCTTTGTTCTGGGCCTTTTCCTCTTTTCTCTCTACACTGTCTCACTTGGTGACCTAATTCTCTCCCATGAATTCAACGACCATCTCTATGCCAATGACTAGTCTCTCCCCTGAGCTCCAGTCCCGAATCACCAATTTCCTATTGGACGTTTCAAACCTCATGTCCAGAAGGCATCTTAAACTTTACATGTCTACAACAAAACTCAAAAATTATCTTTCCCCCTAAACACATCTCTCGTCCAATAGTCCCTATTATTCTAGGAGACTTCCACACACTTAAGCTCACAGCCTCAAAATCATCCAAGAGTCCTCAATCTTACTCACTTCACATGTCCAGACAGTTATCTTACAATCTATCAGACTGGCTAAAATGATAGATGCCATTCAATAGGGGAAGGACTAAACAAGTTGGGGTGCATGATTGTGATGGAATACTCCTGTGCCATAAGAAATGATGAGCTGATTGGTTTAGGAAAAAAACATGGAAAGACCTGGACCTATGAAGGAAGATGTTATCTACCTCCAGAGAAAGAGATGACAAATAGAAATAGGCATGGTATGGTTTTTACATATATGTATGTGTGTATATGTATATATGAATGTTTATAGATATGTATGTATATGTATATATTCACATTTAATTGTAGCCTTCTCTAGAGCAGGGTGGGGAAGGAGTGGTGGAGAAAAAAAATTTAAAAAGTGCACAGAACAAAAGAAATCTCAGAAGGAAGCATAGAAAAGCTAGGTAGCTTTGAAAATAATGTGTAATATTTATTACATAGGTTTTAAAAAGGAAACAGTTTGAAACGGAAATTTATTGTTTTATGTTGAATCCTCTCTTATGTTCTGCTGTGTACATGGAAATGCTTTTTCTTTTCTCATTTTGTATTTGTTTAAAATGAATTAAAAAAAAAACCCACGTCCAGACAGTTGCAAATCTCGCCATTTCCCCCTCTGAAACATTTCTCCTCTATGTCCCCTTTTGTCTATTTGCACAAACACCACCCTCCTGGGGCAGGCCTTCATGAGCCCTGGGCTGGATTATTTTGACAGCCTCTTAATTGGTCTTCCTGCCTCTAGTATCTTCCTACTCCAATTTATCCTTTACTCATTGATCAAAGTGACTTTTCTAAATTGTAAGTCTGGCCACTCATCTTAGGAGCACAATCTATCACACCCAGGCTAGGCTCCTTTTCCTTAAAAAGCGTGGAAAGCATCCTTGAGAATTAATTGGTACAGAATAGGTTGGGCTAAGTCTCATATCTGGAATGTACATGATCCCTCTTTCCTTCTTCTTAGAATTCTTGTTTTCCTTTAAGACTTAGACCCTCTTTTGTTTTCTAATGTTTCATATTTTATTTTTTCCAATTACATGTAAAAACAATTTTCAACTTTTTTTTTTACATTTTGAGTTCCAAATTCTTTTCCTCTCTCCCTCCTTGAGAAGGCAAGCAAATTGATATAGATTATATATGTGTAGTCATGCAAAACATATTTCCACATTAGCTGTGTTTTGAAAGAAATCACAGACCAAAAAAAAAAAACCCCCAAAAACCCCAAAACCCAAACTAAAACAAACCAAGATAAATAAAGTTAAAAAAAAAAGTCTGCTTCAATCTGCATTCAGATTCTGTCAGTTCTGTCTCTGGAGGTGGATGGCATTTTTCATCATAAGTCCTCCAGAACTGTCTTGGATCATTCATTGTATTGCTATTAGCTCACCTTTTACAGAAAAAACTTTCCTGGTCTCCCCAGTTATTAATGTCTTTCTTTCTCATGTCAACTTGTGTTTACATTGTATGCGTCGTGTGTGTGTGTGTGTGTGTGTGTGTGTGTGTGTGTGTCTGTGTGTGTGTCTGTGTGTCTATGTGTATCTACATATACATGTTATCTTCACATTTAAATGTAAGCCACTTGAAGGCAGGGCATGATTTGCTTTTGTATTTGTATGCCAAACATAGCATAGTGCCTGGCACATTAACTTGTTGATTAACTGACACAGAAGTAGACAGTGATGTACACAGTAGGCACTTAATGATTGCTGAATGAATGAAAGGTTATTTCTGTCCTCAGGCTTGCTGCCCCACAAGTATTTTCACCCACTGGGCCACATGAAGGTTGATCACCTGTTAGCTTGTGACCTCTGCTGCACGTTGGAGCTTGGGAACATAAATTTGCCTCTTCCTCCAGAAACCAACATAATTAAGGAAGATCTATCAGGCACATTCCCATTTATCAATCAACAGGGCTCTTCTGTCTGCTGCTATTGCTGATTGCTGAATACACAGCCATGATGATGATGAAATAACACTGGAAGCTATGATTCAGTGCATTCTGGGAGCCCATCCTCTCTGACTTGCCTGGCAAGATTCCCCTGGCCTAGAGATCTGGCTGGCATCTGATGTGGGTATTTAGCCAGGCTGAGAAGTTGTCCTGATAAATCTCTTTCCAATGTCAATGGATTGATTTCATTCCAGAACCTCCTGGGTGAAGACCCCCACCCCCACCTCCATCTTACCTCTATTAAACATAGTTTAATAACTCCTTTTTGAAAAATAAGAAATTTTGTTGGTGGCTTTATTTTAACACCATAGTCATTTCTATCCTTCTTAATTATAAGTCCTTCCTTCCATAAGTCCTTAGTCCTTCCACCATAATCATACTTCCTCTTCTACTCCCAATGCCAATGAGCCTTTCTTCATAACCAAGAAAAACAGTTGCGTAAAGCCTACTGACTCAGAGACCTTGTGTGCAACCGACCCTCCACGCCTGTCTGACTCACTTTTCTACTGAAAACATTCCAGTGCATTTTCTTATCTTTTCTCTAGGAATGTTGTTTTCAATTGTTTAGTTGTGTATGACTCTTTATTGCCTTGTGGACCATACTGTCTATGGGGATTTTCTTGGCAAAGATACTTTGGATTGGTTTGCCATTTCTTTCTCTAGTGGATTAAGGCAAACAGGGCTTAAGTGACTTGCCCAGGGTCACACAACTAGTAAGTGTCTGAAGCTGAATTTGAGCTCCAGGCCCAGTGCTCTATCCACTGAGTCATCTAAGTTGCTTCTTTTCCTGGGATGAGATCAGTCATTTCTGCATTAGGCTTCATTTTAGGGTTATTTTTGTTTATATTATCATGGTCATTGAGTATATTGTTCTTCTGATTCACAGATTTCTCAGGAAACTTGATGTGTTATGTATAAAGAGTCTAATATCCCAAGTGAAAGATGTCATGGCTGCTAGAATCTTTGAGTTGCAAGGCAATTTGGAAGTTCGCCTGATCCAACTTCTTATTGGTCTGCAGGATAGAGAGTGGCAAGGTGGGCCTTGAATGTAGGTCATCCATGAATTGAGTAAGAGGCATCCGGGCCTAGTTCGCCTAGTGGATATCATCCTGGCCTGAGCCAAGACTTGGATTCAAATCCTACCCTTTACTCATCTGTAAAATGAGCTAGAGAAAGAAATTGCAAACCACTCCAGTATCTTTGCCAAGAAAACCCCAAATGGGGTCACAAACAGACACAACTGAAACGAATGAACAACAGCTCTGTGACCCTGGAAAACATAACTATTTTGGGCCCCATTTTCCACGTCCATAAAATGATAGGGGTTGAACTCCATGGTCTCCAAATCTACAATCCTATGACTTTTTAAGAAGTCTTTAGCCAACTATTCCTGGAGGTGTTCATTTCAATTCGATTTTTTAAACATTTTTTTTATTTTTTAGTGAGGCAATCGGGGGTTAAGTGACTTGCCCAGGGTCACACAGCTAGTAAGTGTCAAGTGTCTGAGGTCAAGAGCTCAAATTTGAACTCAGGTCCTTCTGACTCCAAGGTTGTTAAATTCAATTTAAAAAGCATTTATTAAGTGCCTACCGTGTGCTAGGCAATGATGATACAAAGACAAAAATTAAATGGTTCCTTCTCTCTCAAGGAAATTGCATTCTACTCAGGGGATTCATGCTAAGAGATAAGGAAATACAAAATATCTGCTAAGTAAACACAAAATAATTTAAGCTTGGGCAGGAGACCAACAAAGAGCAGAAATCTGTAATGGCTTCTGGTAGTAGGAAAAGCTTGAGCTGGAGGGGGAAAGGGGAAAAGCACAGACATTTATTAAGTGCCTACTATGTGTCAGGCAAAGAGCTTTACAAATATTATCTCATTTGAGCCTTAAGTCAACCCTGTGAGATAAGTGCTGTTATTATTCCCATTTAACAGTTGAGGAAACTGAGGCAGATAGAGGGTTAATTAAGTGACTTACCCAGAGTCACACAGCTAGGAAGTGTGTGAGACTAACTAAGCCTTTGGGTTGGTGGTGGTCAAGGAATTCACAAGGCTCTCACAACCTGGCCCCTTTCTCACACTTGACTCCCCTCCAGGAATTCTGTGGTCCAGCAATACAGGCCCATCTAGTGTTCCTTCCACAAGACATTCCATCCCTTGCTTTGCTCTGGCAGTCAGTTCCTCGTTCCTGGAAGGCTCTCTCTTCTCACCTCTTCCTCTAGACATCCCAGGTTCTCTCAAGTTTCAGCTCAAGCACCCCCTTCTGTAGGAGCCCCTTCCTCGTCTTCCCCAGCTGCTCCTCCCGCTATCTCTCTTTACTCTTCCTCAGGCTTATTTGTGCCTATTCATTTGCCCATTGTTAGGGAGGGGAGGTCCCATTTTTGCCTCTTTTTGTATCCTCAGCACCTAGCACTGAGCCTGGCACATAATATTGTGGCTCAGTTGTTTCTGACTCTTAGAGACTCCATTTGAGGTATTCTTGGCAAAGACACAGGAGTGGTTTGCCATTTCCTTCTCTAACTCATTTTACAGTTGAGGAAACTGAGGCAAACAGGGTGAAGTGACGTGCCCAGGGTCACACAGCTAAATTTGAACTCTGGAAGATGAATCTTCCTGAGTCCAGACCCCGAACTCTATCCATGTCACCACCTAGCTGCCCTGGTGCATAATAGGAGCTTAAGAAATTGATTAATTAAATCCATAAATGGATCAATTGATTTCTGGAGAGCTTTAAGGTTTGCAGAGCACTTGTGTTATCTCATTTGATTCTCTCAGCAACCTTGTGAGGTAGGAGCTCCTATTATCCCCATTTTACAGAGAAAACAACTGACGCACAGAGGAGTTAAAAGACTTGCCCACGGTCACCTAGCTAGGAAGTGTGTGAGGGCCAAGAAGCCTTTGAGAAGATGAGCCGTCGCGACTCCAGAGAAGGTACGGTCCCTGGCTTCAAGGGGCTTACTTTTTAACCAGGGATACATGTTTACATGTCAGTGAATACAGACTCTCTACAAAGTAGTCTTGCCAAGAAGTGAGGGGGGAGGGGCCTTTGCATGCTCTTCGGGCGTTCCCTCCCGTCCTTCATGGAAGAGTCCACAAGCCCGGTCTCCCCCCCTTCCATTCCTCCTCCAATGGAACGTGCCGGCTTCCCGGCGGCGGAAGGAAGAGGGGAGGTAGATACTCCAGGTTACACTAATCGCTCCCCGATCGCCGAGGCCAGGGGCGAAGCCCTGGCAATCCAGGGGCGTGACTGAGAGATTGACCGTGCCTGGAGCCTGCGTGCCGGGCGTGCTCGCCGAGGGTTTTGCGCCTGCGCGGTGGTCGGCGGTCCCTTTCTGGCTCCTCGATCGCCATGGCGCCCGTGGTTAGTATCGCGCTCCGTGCGCGGCCTTCCCCGCGGGGCCGCCTCGCGCTCCCTCCTGGGCTCCGGGGGGTCCGGTCCGACCGAGCCCGGGCCGGGTGGTGGGTGGGGAGGGGGATCGGGGCAGGGCCCAACCTCTGCTGCTGCCGCTTCCTCCTCCTCGTCAGGGCCCCGGCTGCTGCACGCTGTTTGGGAGGGAGGCCGAGGCCGGGGCCTGGCGCCCATGGGGGCTCGGGGCGGCTTTGGGGGCCGCTGCACGCAGGCGCCGTGTCGGGTCCGCCCCGATGGCGCTCCTCTGGAGCTGGGGCTGCCCGCGCCCCACGTCCGGCCTGTCGCCCCGGGTGTGGCCCGGGGGTCGCGCGGGCGGGCCGGCCTCAGCCTGCGTTCCCCGGGCCTCAGTTTACCCTTTCGTAAGCCGGGGGTCGGGAAGCCGGCGGTTGCGTCCTGTGCACGTCTTGTGGCCGCCGCCCCCGGCACCCTCTCTGCGGGTTCTGGGGCTGGACTTGGGGTTCCGAGGTTCCCAACCACCCCCCAAGCGGGTTTCTGGACGGGTCACCGAACTTCCCCGAGCCTCCGTTTCCCTCTCTGTAAAATGGGGCTAATAACTGCTTTTACGGGGGCAGTCGTTTGTAGGGATGGGACGTGGTTTTGCAAACTGGAAAGTATGTGAAGAAAACACGAGCTTTTGTCGTTCCTGGACTTGAAGCTTATGTGGCTTCTGACCTTAGTTTATTAAGGGATTTACAATTTGGCCTCTCCTTTGTGACCAATAAATGAACCCTGGTGTGGTTAGAGAACCAGCCTGGAGGCCAGAAAGAGCTGAGTTCAAGTCCCACCTCGTGACCCTGAGCAGGACTCATAGATTCTCAGGACTGAGTTGCTGCCCTACCTGCATCGATAGGTGGGATTTCCTCAGCCTTTCCCCATCCCTTCGGGCTAATCTGGCAATACCACCTTCCTCCCTTCTCTCTGTTGAGGATAATAACCAGAATTCCTCCTTCAGACTTTAGGAAAGATTTGTATATCTCAGGGAACATTGCCTTGCTTTTCGGTGCTTGTGTTTTAACCTGTAAGCTTCTTGAGGGCAGGGACTATTTTCGGGGCAAATTTTGCATCTCTCCCAGAGTCCAGCACGGATTTGATGATAGAATGAACACATGTAGTCGCCTTTTCTGGGAAACTAGTGATTGAAGGCGTTAAATTTCTTGTTGATAGGATCTCTAGTACTTTAATACTCTCGTAGACTAAGTAGAGTATTAAGGCTCAACTGTTTTTTGGTTGGAAATTTTAAAAGAAAATCATTAGTTTTGTGATAACTGCAGTAATGAAGAGTTGATGGGTATAAGTCATGGCCTTCCAACTCTTGGTTCCAGCCTTTACTTCTATCACTTAATGGTCATGTGACAGGCAAGGCACTTACCCTGTCATATCCTGTTTTTTCCTCTGTAAACCTAATGGGGATTTGTCGAGGCCCCTTCCAGTTCTTCAACATTTTGTGATTTTAAAAGAAGGTCTTTAAGCACTATGACTAAGTGTCATTGAGGAGCAGCTTAATTTTGTGAAAAGGGTTATCCTCTTTTCCCTAACCTGATCTCTAAAAGGAGGATAATAATACCCCCTACTTCCGAAGGTTGTGATGAGGATCAGATGAGATAATAATGTGAAGCGCTTAGCACAGTCTTGGGCACAAAGTAATCGCTGTAGAAATATTAGCTATTATTACTGTAGGGAGCTTAGGGAAAGAATGTTTTCCATAGTCTTTCAGCATAAGGTAGCCTTGCTAAGTATCTACTTTGAATGTTTTAAAAGTTGAGTAACTGGAGTGTGTAATGGGGGTGGGGGTGGGGGGGGTATGTGTAATACTATTATTGGTTGCTTAGGGGACTCCTGATCAAAGATTAACCCTATTTAAAAGGTAGAATGTCTCTAAGAAGGGTATTAGAGATAAAAATATGAAACTTATTCTAATTTTCAATTGCAAAATTGTTCAGTACCTACTGTGTGCTAGTCACTGGAGATTTAAAGATGCAGACAGGATAGTCCCTGCCCTTTAGGGATTTATAACAAAATGGGGATTGCAAGTGGGGGAACAGAACCAGATAGACATCCAATATACACATTAGGAAATTATTACATATATGAGAGAAGTTAAACAATGGCCAGATTCAAGGAGGGAGAGCTCTCTTTTAGTTCAGGGGATGTCGGAAGGTTTCATGGGCAGTGGGGAGACAGCAATAGGTTGCTGCAATCTCAGAACTCCATCACATAGCTAGGAAAGAAGCAAGAAAGCAGCCATAGTCATGAGGTCTCAGAAATAACACTATCCCAGAACTCAGTATTCAAAGTGTGCAGAGTAAAAGTGCGGTTAAGTTCAAGAATGGTTTGATTAAATCCAGGCACATATTTCCATGCCAGGGATTTTTAGGCCATCATAAGAAATAACCCTCCTCTTTTACAGAATTGCAGAACTTTAGACTGGAGGAACCAGTCGCTGCTTGACTCTTTTAAAGTTCAAAGTTTTTGGGATTTTGCTTTTGAATGTAGGCTCCTTCCCACACTCTCAAATATGTATTTGAAGGTTAGCCACTTAGAGACCGTATTTTATGTTTTTCTATAGAAGAAATCTGTGATGAAGGGCGGCAAAAAAAAGAAGCAAGTCCTTAAGTTTACCCTGGATTGTACCCATCCTGTGGAAGATGGGATTATGGATGCAGCTAATTTCGTAAGTTATTTTCCTGAAGCTATTCATTTCTTAAACTATAATAAACTCTTTGCCTTAGTATGTAAGTATAGGTGTGGGTTGCATTCTGGAAATGACTTAAGAAGCAGCAAGTATCTTAACGACCAAACAATTTTATTCTTTTTAAAGACAGGAAACAAGGTATTGCAGTAACTAATTTCTGGACTTGAGTTGTCTGGAAATGATGGCTTGGAGGCTTATCATAGGGTTAGCATCTCAGCTATGGAGACAGAGTGGATAGATTGGAGTCAGGGACACTCCTCTTTCTGAGTTCAAATCTGGCCTCAGACATTTACTAACCAGGTGCCCTGGGCAAGTCACCTAACCCTGTTTGCCTCAGTTTCCTCATCTGTGAAATGAACTAGAGAAGGAAATGGCAAACCACTCCAGTGTCTTTGCCAAGAAAACCCAGATTGGTCAGACGACTGAAAAACATCTGAACATAGAGACACTGTGAACTAGCCTTAGGAGAGTTCACTGTTTTTGGTGATTTGTCTTTAAATTTTGGAATGCATTTTGATATTTTCTGAATTACTGAAATGCTACTGTCATCTTCAGTTTAAAGGTCTTCTGACTTCTTTTTGAGCTTCTTTCAGGTACTAATTTATTGTGTCTCTGTTGTGCTCTTTCCCCCTTTTCCCCATGGAAACTTAGACAAATGAAATCCATGCAGAAATTAATCCATTTCTGCTTTGTTAGATTGCTAGTCAGTTTCTTGGTCTCTCTTTGCTTTCAGCACCTGCTGGTGAGGAGAGCTCACACAAACACTGTATGGAGAAGACTCCCAAATATCCTTTTCCTCTTAAATGTCCTTTTTTATCCTTACCTCTACCAATCAATCTCAGGGAAGTCAACTAGTGTTAAAATGAAAACTATTAAACAAAAGTATTTGTTAAAAAAAAAAAAGATTCCTAATACCTACCTGTAGGCTTACCTATTTTAAGTAATGCTTTGTAGAACACAGTTGTATAGTTCCTTGTAATTTGAGAATGTCTTTGTCAAGAAGTTGAGTTGAGTTGAGAACCTATTTCATCCAGCCCATACCAGTACAAAAATCTCTACCCTGTCCAGACAAGTGGTCGTCCAGTCTTGATTTGAAGACTTATGGTGAGGGAAACAGTGGTATGGTGGAAAGAACCTTTCCATCTTATATTCCAAAAGCCTTGGATTTCTTGGTTTAAATCCTGACTCTGCCAGTTATCACTTTTGTAACCTTGGGCAAGTCACTAGCTCCTAGAGCAGGGGTGGAGAACCTGGGGCCTCGAGGCCACGTGTAGTGTGGCCCTTTGATTCAGTCCAAACTTCACAGATCCTTCTGTTCACACTTGAGGACCTAGAGGGCCACATGTGACCTCGAGGCCCCAGGTTCCCCACCCCTGCCCTAGGAGCTTCTATTTTGTTAACTGTCAAATGAGGGGATCCAGCTAGAAGGATTAAGATTCCTTTCAGTTCTGAATATTTTGACCTATTTTAATATGATCTTTGTAGACAGCCCGTTCCATTTTCCATTTTTAGGCCTAATTGTTAGGAACATTTTCTTTTATCTCCAGCTGAAGTCTGCCTTGTCTGCTGCCCTCCTCCTTACCCCTCAGTCCTTCTATCACCCCATCACATCACACACAATTGTTTCTGGTTGTGCCTCCTGGGGTCATGAAGAACAAGCAGATTCCTTTTTCCAGGACTCATTCCAGCCGGTCCTCACTGCTCCTGCGTGGCAATACTTAAGTTTTTTCCTGGTGAATGCTGTCACACTCCACTGAGGCAGTGCTCTGTCCTTCTCTTCCTACCCCTCTCCATGTTCTCAGCAGAAGTCCTTGCCTGACCATCATTAGCATCCACTTTCCTCTGTTGTTCCTCAGAAGCTCTCTTTGCCTTTCCCTGATTTTCCCCTTTTACTCTGGTGTCTGATGAAATGTTCTTTCCCCTGGTTGAGATCAACCCTTTCACTTGTACTTTTGCTTCTTCTTTCCCTGAGTCATTCTTTTCCTTGTTTTTCATCTCTATCCCTTGGCTTTTTCCTTTTTCCTTACATGACCTGGTCTTCCCCATACCTGAGAAGACTTTGCTTGACTCTGCCAAATTCCTCTGAAGGCAGGTCTGTAGTCTTTGCCTCCATTTCCTTACCTTCTCTTTAAATTGCTTACAGTCTGACTTGCCATCCCACCACTTGACTAAAACTGCTTTCTCTAATAACCTTTTCTCACTCCTCGTTTTACTTGACACAGCGGTAGTTTTTGTCACTGTTGACCATTTTCTTTTCCCTGGACTTTTGCGATACTGTTCTTTTTTGGCTGTCCTATGGATTTGTATTATTATCCTTCTGGACATCTACCCCCTCCTCCCCAGTTATCTTTCTGTACTCTCAGTGATCACATTAGCTCCCACATATTCAGTAATTACACTACATAGATGATTCCCACATCTCTCCATCTAGCCTCACTTTTTTCCTACGCTCTAGTCTTGAATTACTAACTGCCTGTTGTACAAGTTCACCCGTGGAGGGATTGACTATTAATAACTCAAAATCACTACATCTGAAACAAGATATTATATTTCTTCCTAAACCTACCTGTCCCCCTGATTTTCCTGTTTCTTTTTAAAGTACCATGAGTCTTTAAATGACCTCCAGTTTGTAACCCAGAATTATCCCAAACTCTTCCTTCATCCTTTGTCTCCCTTCCCTATCCTCAGTTCTCATCCTTTCAATTGACATGCTCCCCAGCATTTCCCAGGTCTGTCCTTTCTCTGCTCCCACAGACTCTGCTTAGTTCAGGGCGTCTTCTCACTTGCCTGGATTATTGTATTGGCCACGTGTTTGGTCTGTCTGCCTTCGGCCTCTTCCCTGCTCTGAGCCATCTTCTACACGATGCCCACTGCATATTCCTGTAACAGACCTGACTGTGTTCCTTTCTACCTATGTCCCCCACCTAATTTGAAAGCCCTCATGGACTTCTTGTTGCCTCTAGGAAAAAACCCAAACTACTCGGCTGTTTAGCCCACCAAAATTCAACCCTCACCTATCTTTCTAGACTTATTTCCTATCACTTCCCTTTACATACAGACATTCTGTTCAGAATGGGCTATCATCTGTTCCCCTTACACTGTACTCCATCTCTGACCCCCATATTTTTGTACAGCCTGCCCCCCGTTCCTGCAGTGCACTTTCCCTCCAGCTGGGAGGCTCAGCGACTAGAGTGCTGGGCCTGGAGTCAGAATAACCAGGGTTCAAATCAAGCCTCAGAAACCTGTTAGCTGTGTGACCCTGGGCAAGTCACTTAACCTCTGCCTCTTTATCTGTATAATGGGGATGCACCTGCCTTCTAGGGTTGTTGTGAGGATCAAATGAGGTAATACTTGTAAAGGGGCTTAGCACTGTGCCTGTCATATAGTAGATGCTTAATAAATACTTGTTTGCTTCCTCCCTTCCTCCTTCCCCCCTCCCCCTTCCCTGCCTCTGAGAATCCCTAGCTTTCTTCAGAGGGCAGCTCAGGTGCTGTTTCCTATCAGAGGTCTTTCCCGATTCTCTCCCCCCCCATCTATTACTTTATAGATACTTGATATTTCTTTACTTGTGTGAATGTTGTCCTGTTGTCTTCCCTCTTGGCAGAGGTGATGAATGCGTTCCAGGCATATCAGTTTTGCTGTGCTGCTTGGACCGCATCTGTCCTGAGCCTCTGTTAGTGCATTTTGACCACATGTCCCACTTTTTTGTTTGTTTTTTGGCGAGGCAGTTGGAGTTAAGTGACCTGCCCAGGGTCACACAGCTAGTGAATATCAAGTATGTGGTCTGAGGCCAGATTTGAACTCAGGTCCTCCTGACTCCAGGGCCGGTGCTCTATCCACTGTGCCACTAGCTGCCTCTAACATATCCCACTTTGGATTCCTGTTGCACTTGCCATTGAATCCCCAGATTTTTTTCAGATGAGTGATAGACATAGACACACTTACCCTATCTTTTATTTGTGAAGTTGATTTTTAAAATCCAAGTATAAGATGTTGCCTGCACCCTGGCCTGTTGAACTCATTGTGGTGCATTCTGCTCTCTGTCACCTCTTGTGTTTAACTGGGCCCTTCAGCTTCGTGTCATCTGTAAGTGTGATGAGCACCATTTAAATCACTGATAAGAACGATAAATGGCATATAGCCAGAGATGTCCATATCCCCAAGATTGTCCTCGATGCTAGAGATCCATGGAGATATCAAACTACTAATGGCCATTCCTTGATCCAGCCCTTCAGCCCAGTACTCGTACTATGGTCTAACCTTTGTCTTTCTACCCAGAACATGAAGGTAACACAGGGAACTCAAATGCTTTCCCTAAATCTGTCGTTTTCTCTATGTTCCAGTCTAGTAAGAGAAACTTTGGCATGACCTGCTCCTGAAGAAACTGGCTGCTCTATCCTTTTTAGAAGCCCATTAACAAGTGGTGATGTTTCAGGATTTGACCTGGAGTCAATGATACTTTGCAGGGTCCAGTCTCTCTTATTTTTTGATAATTACAACAACATATGCTTTTTCTCTACATGACCATGGTTTGGGAATCATATCTCCTGTAATTTCCTAGGATAGAGGTGGAGTTAGATGACTTGAACTTACTATAGTGGTGTGATTGGTGTGTTTTTTTTTTTTTTTCCTATTTCTTTACTTGTGTAATCAACTTTGTTAACTATTTTTGTTCTGGCTGTTCTCTTTGGCAGAGAAAATAGAAGTGAAATAAGAGCTGAGCACGCCTTTCTTGTCTCTGTTTTGTCTATCTTTATCTGTGGTTCCATCTCTCTTTGATCCTCTTTTTCCACCACAATAGTTTATAAAACAAAATGCTACTTTATGTTGACATATGGGCTTTAATATACCAGGACCATCTTCCTTTTTGTTTGTTTGTTTGCTTGCTTTTTTCTGGTGAGGCAATCGGGGTTAAGTGACTTGCCCAGGGTCACAGCTAGTAAGTGTGAGGTGTCTGAGGCTGGATTCGAACTCGGGTCCTCTTGACTCCAGGGCCAGAGCTCTGTCCACTGCGCCACCTAGCTGCCCCAGGACCATCTTCCCTTGGCAACTGCAGTAGTTCATTTCACACCCTTACAATTCTGATGCTCTTCCTAGAGGACCTGATTATGGATTCATCTGTTTCCTTCATCATTTTGGATTCATCTGTGTCCTTGCCTTGCTTTCAGGTTCTCACGTCATTTAAAAATCAGAGGTAGTTGATCAGAAATAACTTGGGTACCCACAGCGTTCTCGGCCGCTCCCTTCTCTGTGATTGGAGTTAGTTTTCTTTTTGTTTATAACTTGTGATGATAAACTAAAAAAGTATTTGTAAAGTACTTTGCATGCCTTAAAGCACTGTATTAAAGCCACCTAGTATTGTTGGAACTGCTAGTATTCTTCTTGAATGTCATTACCATGTTGTTGCCTCCTTGTTACAGACAGTTTGAAATTCTGGTGTTCACAGCCCTCTCTCACTTGACCTGGTGGTTTTGCTTGGGCTCCATCCCATTGTCTTCCATTGTGATTACTGCTTTCCATCTAGCCTGGTGGTTCCTTTAGCCCTTGCCCCTCAGTGACATGTTCTTTGCTGGGTCCCCATTTTAATCTCAGTGCTGTTCTCCTATTTCAGTGCCCTCAACACCTAGCGTGTCCTGTACTGTATCATTTTGTCCAAGTTGACTTGGAAATGATGACTGCTTTTCTCTGTCTGTTGTCATGAAAGATCACACCTTCCATTTCTTCTGTATTTCATGGGTTGGTGATGATTGTCTTGGTGTTAGTTCCCTTCCCATGCCAGCATAGCAGGTTGTAACCCCCGACTTTCAGGATGCATGGACTTCTTCTTTTTTTTTTAAGGCATTTGGGGTTAAGTGACTTGCCCAGGGTCACACAGCTAGTAAGTGTCAAGTGTTTGGTCTGAGGCCGGATTTGAACTCGGGTCCTCCTGACTTCAGGATCGGTGCTCTATGCACTGCCCTACCTAGCTGCCCTCAATGCACGGACTTTAAACTTTTAAGTAGGACCATATGTGCCCATAGGTGTGAGGCACTGAGTGTAGACTAAAGGTGCCGGCTTCTTGTTCAGGTTAGGTTTTAATTGCAGATCTCCATGTCCTCGGTGTTTGTGGGAGTGGCCTGGTGGTGCTTCCCTTCTGACTTCTCAGAGCTGAAATGGTAAGTCTTCAGGGTGAGCCTGCAGTGTGTGACCAGGCACCCTCCTCAGGCCCTCTCTCATTTTTACAGGAGCAGTTTTTGCAAGAACGAATCAAAGTGAACGGAAAGGCTGGCAACCTCGGTGGCGGAGTTGTAACCATTGAGAGAAGCAAGAGTAAGATAACTGTGACGTCAGAGGTGCCATTTTCTAAAAGGTGAGAGGGCAAGTGATGGTGGAGGAAGTGAGAATGTGGCGCCTAGAAGCGGGCAGGCCTCATGTTCCCCTGCACGGTTCAGTGGCTTCTGACCCAGGGCGGTGCTATGGGAGAGGAAGTACTTTGCCAAAACGGTAAATGGCTTTATGATTGGGTGAAAATAAACAGCAGCCACTGTGGTGGGGTAAGAGGAGACAGCCTGCCTCGGACTTTTCCGACTCCCATGAGCACTTCGTCTCAGATGTACAAAATGGAACTCATGCACCTGGGTGCTGACCTCACTGGGTTTGTAAAGGTGACTCTAGACAAAGAGGAAGGGGCTTGGCAGCTTTGGGGAGCTAGGGAGACTTGTAGACACACGTGGTCTCTTCTGGGGAGCGTGGGAAAATCTTAGAGCTGCTGGCTGCCTTTTTTAGCACTTTTCATTGGAAATGAAACCTTTCCCTGAAGTGTTTCAGGCTAAATTGAAGTGTTAGGATTTATCTTTAATCCTTAAACTGAATCTCAGTGGTAAGTTTGCCCTGAGTCCCATCATGTGGAGCTGGTGTTAAAGGGAGCCTTAAGGGGACTAGCACACAAGAGTTTTAAAATGTATCTTCCTGTTGGATGCCTCCCAAAGCGTCTGTCTCTCAGATGAAAGTAACGTTTGTTTTTGTTGTTTCAGGAGCATCAGTTACTTGGTTTCATTCGGTTGATATTTTCTTTCTGAATGATAAGTAGGAAGGTCTTGAATTTGCTTTCATCTCCAGCTTCCGTCAGGCTAACGGTTTTCCTTTTCACTCAAATAAAATTAGCTACCTATCTGGATTCAGGGCCTTCCCTGTGTTTGTTCTGAAAGAAAAGTACATAGAAACACAGAGCCTGAGGAAATGGCAGGGCTTCTTGTCCCCATGTCCTGCTTCTGGGCAGGCAGTACGAAAATTCTTCCAGAGCGGTGGATGTGCAGTGTGTCTCTTCAGCGCCCTTAGAGTGTCAGGGAGAGAATTTTAACAACCACCCTTTGCTACAAGCAAATTTTCCTGTATATCTAACCTGATTCCTCCTCCATTTAAAACCTGTTTCAGCTTGTTTCTGTCCTTAGTGGAGAAGGAGGGAAAGTCAGGTCCACACGCTCTTGGTCTTTTCTTGCGTCCTTTTTTCTCTTAGTAACCATCTCAGCTTCTTGCAACATCCTTTTGGTTTTCTAACCCTTTTATTATTCCTTCCCACCTCCTCTGTTAGAGTACAGGAAGAGCTTTGCCAGTATGTAGAAGGTAGCAGCAAGAGTATATGTAGCATTGAAATACAGTACCCTGGAGCTAAGACAGCTGTTTGCCTGTTCAGCGTTTCCAAGCAGAAACTTAATTAGGTAATAGAGAAACATTTTACAAAATTTTTAGATTTCCTGCCTCAGTGTCGGTGATTTTTCTTTTTCACCTTCTTTTGGGAAAATCCTTTATTCCAGTGAGCTTTGGGGACTTAACATATTTAAGGAGCTGTCATCAAACAATAGGGGACCCCTGGCTAAGGTCCAGAGTGGAAGCTAGAAGTCGTATGACCAGATTACTCATTAAAATGGCTGCAGGTCCTTTTTGCATTGTAATGGTTGGCATTTTGCAGTTGGACATAGAAAGCCAGTTACTACCTTTAAGGAGACTATAACTTAAAAGACAAGATAAACAAATACAAGGTGTATGCAGAGTGAGTGGTAGTGACTTATTTGGCCACTGTCGGCGTGAAAACCGATCAAACCTCCAAATAAATGAACTCCCTAGAGATGGAATATTATGCCAGGGCAATGACCTTGGGAGGATCTATATGTGATTCTGTTTAGGAGATGGCTCAGATAGTGTTGACTCTTTTGCAGGAAGATTGACAGTAAGGGCAATGAGCTATATCACTTGGAACTCTTTGGAAAACAGGGTGATATATAAATTAATAGTTATTCCCTGCTAGATGGACTACTCTTATATATCTTTAGTCTTATTTCTGTTGCTAATTGAACTGCCAGTACCCTGGTTGAGGTCTCTTGATGCTCAGGTCCAGTTTTGGCCCTCTGCTCTCCGTGCAAGGTGGGGCAGATGTCAGGGCGTAGGCCTGGGTGTTGGCCCGTGTGGTGAGTGTGGTGGTGAAGGGCCTGCCTCTCGTGTGACCTGCTATGCAGCCTAGTCACCTCGCATCCTCTCTCTGCAGATATTTGAAGTACCTGACAAAGAAATACTTAAAGAAGAACAACCTTCGGGATTGGCTGCGGGTGGTGGCCAACAGCAAGGAGAGTTATGAATTACGGTACTTCCAGATCAACCAGGACGAAGAGGAGGAAGAGGAGGAGGATTAAACCCTCTTGGGTCTGGAAACGTTTTGTATATGATCTTTAATAAAACTTGAACCAAAGTGGTGGTTATCCTTGTCTTTCTGCACTGTGGATTGTACAGGATACTGGAAACAATTGGAAAGGCCTCTGGTTGGGCTGCTGTGCGCTCGTCAACACTGAGCTGCTTCTGCTTGGGGATTTCAGTTTGGAATGTAACAGTGCCAAATTGGAAGTGGGGAAAAAAAGTCATTTTCAGGGACCTGATGCACATTCTGACTGCTTTTAACAGGTCAACAAGGGCCTTCTGTTTAGAGGAAGGCGTCAGAGATTTGAGCCCTTCCACTTAGTGACTTTGGAGGAAAGGGTTCCCTCAATTAGTAAGTCTTGTCTGTCTCTTTCCTCAAGGAAATTGATATACAATTGATACAAATCTGGGGGCTCTTAATTCATTAAAACAAACAAATAATTGATTTCCCTTTGAAGCCCTTTAAATCAGATTGGAAACTGTTACTTGAGTAAAAGTACTTGCAAAAAAAATTCCTTGGGCATTTGGCTGAATTCCCCGTTTTTGATGAAAAATTAGACCTGGACAGGAAGCTGCTTTGAATAGCCCTTTTCCTATCCAAAGTAAAAGACAGTCCATTATCTTGAATGACAATCTGTCCTGCAGAATTGGGCATGGGGTGTGACAAAAGTATGATTTAAATGGGAGTAAGTCTGTACAAGGATATATTAGTCAATAGCCATTGTTGGAAAAATCCTCTTGTTTTTGCTGTGCAGCTGCAGACAGTGGCCTCCAGCAGGGGGAGCCAGAGATAAGGAACAGGCCTGTTTACCCAGCTGTGATGGTGGTCTACACTGGTACTGTTGGCCAAAAAGAAAGACTCCATGTTGATAGAATGTGGGAAACTATGAAATGTTATCAGGAAGCCATTCCTACAGGCTGGTTCTAGAAGAAAAATTTCCTAACAGAAATAACCCTGTAAGTTGGCAACCTTGAGCTAATAGAATAAAGCCTGTGTACCTGGGGAGGAGACTGAGTCTCTAGCTAGGTTTTCAGTTTGCCACATAAAATTAGAAATGGGGAGGGATAAAATTAAAATTCTAATGACGTTGCAATGAGAGACAGACGGGCCACTTTGAGATTGACTTTAAGAAGCATTTTTCAAGTATTTGGGAGAATAGTTCTGGAGCTGTCTCCTATTTACAGTTAAGGGTGCTTGCATGTGTAGCACTTGCAATGCCTGCAGCCCATTTCCCTGGCAGGGTGGTTGGAGGTGGTGGGCCAGTGGCCAGGAATTAGTTTAGACTAGCTCTCGAATAAGCCCACCTGGGAGGTGTCCAACTTTAGCTCCTACATGTGGGTTGGGGTAATCACGTGAGAGCCTGGTATTTGGTTTTGAGGAAAACGCCCAGACAGATTCCATCGTTAGGTAAATAAATGTCTCCCAAAGAAGAATTGTTTCTGTAGCCCTCCTCTTACCTTAATAGAAGGATTTTCCCAACTTAGGGAGTCATGGGTCTTTCTTTCGAGTGGCTCAATGATTATATATGGCTTTGTCACACTTATTAAATTGCACTAAATGTCAGAATTGAGGTGTGAGAATGTAGCCTGTTCCAGTGACCATCTGTCTAAAGAAAGCACTGTCTGCAGACATTTCTAGTGGGGTTGTAAAAACTTTCTGGGTTGAAAATTGGCAACCAAGAATTTTTTAAATTAAAGCTCATCCCAGATTTTTAAACTTGTATAAGACCTAAGTTCATTGATTTTTTTTAAAGATGCTTTTTTGAGCTCTTGTAATGAGGCGTTTGATCATATTTTATATTAAAGTGGCTAATGTGGCTATGGTTCTTGTGCGAGGATTATTTTTTAAGACCTGACTGCATTTTTTTTTGCCTTTTGTTTTTTTGTTTTTTCTTTTTTAACATTACAGTCATTTCCCAGTATAATTGGAACCAATTCTATCTTAACAATTTGTGCATTACTCCATACAGGGGTTTAGAGATCCTGGGGTTCAGATCCTGGTTCTGCCGTTTACTGCTTATGTGGCTTTGGGCATGGCATTTAACCTCTCTGTGACCTCAGAGGTCATCTCTTCCCATCCCTTTAAGTTGAAGAAACTGAGCCAGAGAAGTTGTAACTTGCCTAAGGTTACACAGCCAGTCAGGAGGAAATCTGAGTCCAGAGTGATCCATCTCTAACTCTTAAGTGAGAGAGTTGGGTTTATGATCTCAGAGGTGCCTTCAGCTCTAAACCTACCACTGTGACCTTTGCTGAGGAGGGGGGCATTTTATCATTGAGTTTATTCCTGGTCATTGCACTTCATCTTGAAATTAGCTGTCTCTTCTAGTGTCATTTCAATTTCCTTTGATGCCTTTTGCCTTCCTCCCAGTTATTTTCCCCACCAGTCCTCCCTTCAGTTGAGTCCTCCCATGTAACAACATTGAAGCAGACACAGTGACTGCATCAGTGTAAACTTCAACTCATATTTCCCCCTTTCTCCTGGGTGGAGGGAAGGGGCTGACATCAGTTCTTCACTATGTAGATGAGTTTGTTTGCCTTTTAGCATTTTTTGTTTCAGTATTTTTATAGTCACTGTCTACGTGCTCTCATTTCTGCTTATCTTTATTCATAACAAGTCTTCCCATGTTCTGTTGGTGATTTCTTATGGCACTATAATGCTCCATTACGTCCATATGACAACTTGTTCAGTTCCCTAGTTGATGGACACCCACTTCTGTTTCAGATTCTTTGCTACAGCAGGAATTGTAGCTATGAATATTTTGGTGCCTGTGGGACTCTTCCCCTTTGACTGATTCCTGGGCACATGCCCAGTAGCAGGATCACTGGGTCAGTGGGTAAGGATAGTTTAGTGACTTTCCTTAACTGATTATTTATTGGTCTCTACAGCAACAGAAATTCAATTCCCTGGAATTATCCAAGTTATTTCTTATTCAAGTGAGTATGTGATAGCTTATGTCTTTTCTGAAAGTGACATTTGTCCATCATGATTCTGTGCCTGCCATGTGTTGGACACTCCTTTTTCCCCCAAAAAGGGGGTTGGTTAGGGCTGGTGCTAACAGTAATTCCAGATAGTGCTCTTGGTTTACTTTCTCTTCAGTATAACCACTTGAACATTGGACTTAGTGGGGCTCCCAGCGGAGAGGCTGGAGGCTCACTTTGGCTGCTAGCACTGATTTGCAGTGTTCTCTCTGGAGCACCCCTGCCTATGAGAATGAGAATCTGAATTGTGATTTTCGACTGTGCTGAAGCTGGACTTTGGACCACTGAGTTTGTGGAGGTGCTGCCCTCCCTACCTGGTTGGTTGGTGGGTGATCCTGCTTGGTTTGAAATACACAGGAGCGTTATGGGCCGAGTTCCATGAATCCATGATTTAAAATGTTCAGTGTAGTCAAAGTTGACTGTAGAATATTTCTTCACCAGCTCTGGACGTCACAAGCATTGGATATCACTTGAGTGATTAAAAGTTAATATTTGTTCATCCTCAGCCTTCCTGCTTATTTTCCTGAGTATCCCGTTTGTGTGGTCAAATGATAGGGTTGGTTTTCCCTCATTGGTACTAAACAGCATGGTGATATTTCTAAAGAAAACGCTTCCACATCTCAAAACAGATCCTTCCATGTCACAGAATTGACCAAGATCCCTTTCAAAACTAGAAGTTATTCTTAATGCCCATTACTGGGATTATTACTTATGTAAGCTGGAGGGCCAGGGATCACTTACCCAGAGTCGCACCTCCCGGAGGACTCAGTACAGACTTGTGCTTCTTTGTGGATTCAGTGGACTAAGTGGAAAAAAAGTGGTTAGCAAATGAAAATCATACATATTTATGAAATCTGAAAAGGGTCAGATTTAGAATCACACCTCTAATGTTGCCTTATGAGTCTTAGTGGCCTACAAGCTCGTTTTGAGTCAAAACTTCTGGAATCATGGGCCACGTTGGGAAGAGGAATACCTCAGATGAAGGAGGTAACACTCCCATAGTCTGTCCTCTGCCTTGGTCAGGTCTTATCTAGAGTATTCAATTCTAGGCCTCATGTTTTATTAAAGATATGGCAAACCAGAGGACACGTAGAGCAGGGTGATGAGGTTGGCAAGGGACTTTGAAACCATGCCAGATGTGGAACATTTGAAAGAATTTGGACTGTTTAGCTTGAAGAAGAAAGGAGTTATGTTTCTGGTCTTCCAGTCTATGAGCCCATCAGGTGGAAGAGGGCACTGGGGGCGGGGGCGGGGTGGGGGGGGGCGGCACGGCAGAGCCCTACCGAGTCATACCAGGGAGTTGTAGGTAGATTTAAGGTTGAAGTTACAGAACCGTCCTCTTGCTTGGCCTTCCATTCTGAGGTCTCTTCCAACTTGACATTGTGTGATTTTGTGGGTTTTTTTCTCCCTTGGTTTATTTTCTTTACTGAAAGTGTGAGATACTAGAGAACTGTCATTCTGGCCCACTTGTTGAGTTAAAACCCCTTGGAATTTTGGCTTATGTCAATGATCACTTAAGGAACTCTTACATAGTAACACTTGTTCGAGGCCCTGATGGCCGTACAACAGAAAGAAAATCTATCCCACCTCTCTTCTAACTTTTGCCCCTAATGGAGTAGTTGGGGGATTCAGGGCCACCCTACATAACTAGTAGATGGAGCACAAAGCTAGGAATTGGAAAACTTGAGTTCTGTGTCTGACTCTTCCTTTGTCACTCTTAGGTATGCCACCTGAATAACTTGTGCCTCAGTTTCCTTATCTGTCAAATGGAAGTGATAACTGCCTTATCTATCTCCACAGAGCTTGTGAGGACCAAATGAGGAAATATTTGCAATTATTCAACTAGATAATTAGGGGAAATAAGCATTTATATAGTACCTAGCATGTGCCAGACACTCTGCTAAGTGCTTTACAAATATCTCATTTTATATCCTCACAACCATACTGTAAGGTAGGTGATGTTATTTATTCCCTTTTACAATTGAGGAAATGGAGGCATATAGAGGTTAAGTGACCTGCCCAGAGTCACACAGCTGAACTCAGTACCTGAGGCCGGACATTATGCATAAGAGAGCC